GATTCATCATGAAGACATTTCTGCAATAATCGGCCAACACTGCCTTTGCGAAGAAGTTTTTGCAAAGAGGCGCAAACGATTCATTTAAGCACATGTTTGCACAAAACGGCCACGGATTCATACATTTCTGCAATATGTCTTTTCTGGTTGAGCAAGGTCAACCATGTTTCTTTTAACTATATAATTTGTTCTAAGCTTTTCAACAACCGTGAGAAAAGTTGTTTGAATGGTTGAAGAAAGACTCACACATGCACATGTTGGGTCTCAAAGGGAGACTGGTTGAAGTTTTTGGCTGAATTGTTTTGGGTTTGATGCGTCCAAGGCATGAAGTTCAAAGATACTAGCGAAATTTAAGCATGCTTTCACGCAAATCAAAGTCCACACGGCTTGGAACGCAAGGCGATGCCGGGGCTCAATTCGCAGTGAGCTCTTGGCTGCCCAGTTCCAAGCGGATGCGCCAGTTCCTTGAGGGATTAGGCGACACCATTTGCGCTGTTGCCCTGGCGTAGCATAGCATGGCTTAGTGTGGCAAGAGAGGAAAACAAGAATGTGTTTCGGCCCCCCTTAAGCAGGGCCCCGTTCAGAGGATCTTAAAGGGCTCCGTACCTTTTGCTGTTTTTCCATCTCTTGAACTGGCTTATCATGCTGCCAAGTGATGTCGTTCAGTGTTCACATCAGTTGCCATAGACTTGACTAAGTTTGTCAGCGCAGGTGCGGAGAGCGCAGGTGCTGGAGAGTTTGGCACCACGATATGTGGAACAGGATGGGAAGAGGATATCGTTTCTCACCGCGATGTGTCTTATTTATAAACAATTGCACATAGGTCACACTAAATCCACATGGCTGTACGTTTCCGTAGCTGCAGAATCGAAACGGCGGGACTGCCAATGTACTGCAGTTGCCCAGGATGTCAGCAGGCCTTAAACAACAAAAAGGTGTGGCAGCAGGGTCATGAGGCATTGGTGAGAATCATAATGGATGCGCTTGACAATTGAAAGGGCGATGCTCCGTACTTTGGCGGGGTATTCAATCCTGTGAACATTCAAAGCCACTCGCGACATGCTCCCCGAGTAATGGTGCACCTCACTACTTAGTACAGCCAAGGAGCGTGCCTGCTTTGCGCTCTGGCTGTAAAGTTATACCCATCCAGAATTCAGTAGACCCGAGCATGGCTAGTCCAGTGCATGTTTTGAGCGTGTCCAGCTCGAAGTCCAGTGCAGCCTAGTCTGGAGAAACAACAGCTGAGGGAACAGTATGCCGTTATTTTTGAATCCACATAGACTTCCACAATCTTGTACGGACGAATGCTACTTCTTGTAAAGCACTGAAGGTGGGTGTTGATGTCATGTCTCATCTTGAACCGCCTGCAGTTGAAGCCACAAAACTCAGCAGCAGGACGCTTCATACAAAGCAGCTGTTTGTAGCAGCAGTGAATGAGTGGCCGCCGCAGACAATTCTAACGCAATATGCTTTGGTCCAAGGCATGCCCTTCATCCTCGAGGACCAGAGTCGCTCAGATTTGCCCCAAATTGTGCCTTTTCTTCAGTGTGGTCTCCTTTGCCATTTTCTATTTTGCTCAAAATAATGCCTTTCGTATTTTGTCCACATCCAACATCGTCAATAAGAATTTGTTTCATTTCAAAAAGCTAGTCCGTGTGAATGGAACCTGTATTGTCACTATCACCTCTTTGTCACTCCGCTGGATGAACTCGATGCTGAACTTTGGATGCTGCGACAAAACATGATCCCTTCGTCACAGCTTTGCCGATGACTCAATGCAGACTTGCCACTTCAGCCCAAAGAACTTCAGCCGCTCAGACACCGCCTTGGGTTCGTCCGCACGTGTTGGGCGTTTGGCATTTGCTTGTATTATTGGACGTCGTCGCTCCTTTTTCAGAAGCACCAATTCCGTGCTGCCCACGGAGATCGTGAAGTCGTTTGAGGACGGCAGCCTCCGCTCATCCTGTAATCACCTCGGGGGTCGGAGGTCGGTGTCTGTTGCTTTCGACGGGGGGGTGGAGTTTCATCCACCCGCACCTTGGGACCCAAAGGGGGGAGAACACACGTAGACGTTACAGGCTTCACCGGTAGCATCCAGACACTGGCTTTGAACAAGCGGTGGGAGAGAAAGACCCGAAAAGGCATGAAGTGCCCATGCGTCCTCGTCTTGGTTTTGGCTGTATGGCTCAAAGTTGGATGCGGACAAAGCAGAAAGACAGGCAGAATCATAAACCTCAAAAAGTGGCTTCGAGATAAACATGAATTGAACTCGACACTTGTGAGCATTCATTGGTGGCAACCGTTTGATTGCGCAGCAGCCTGCAAGTTGCCTGGAATAGCAAGTTGGCACAGGGACCAGTTCGGGAACGTTTCCGGATGTGTGTCACAGAGTCTAGTTGAAGTCTTGGGTGCATAACGATGAATTTGACAAACATCTCTCACGTGGACGAGAATGGGTACTTGACAACAATGGTTTGGCCACTGCCATCATGAATCTGAGAAAAAATAACAAAGATTAAGATGAGGTGATGCCAAAAGAAAAGCAGAACAACTTACAAATTCCCTGCACTTAAATTTCTGAGGTGTGTCTAGGGATGGTTTTTGTCCACAGCAGCCCAGTCACTGGCCAGTATGTGGTGAAATCCTCATGGACTGCCAACCTTGGATTGGAAGGCAACTGCGAAGGTATGATGAATCACGCAAACTAGAGTATGTTCTAGTAGTTGGTCGCAGCCTCGGCCTTATTTGTGTGTAAAGGCCTTGGGTCGGAAAGAGTTCATGTGGATAGCACCACCAAGGGCCGCACAGTCCATCCAGACTCTTCAGGTGTGGTTGTACATTCAGATGGTGACCTGCTTCCCTCCAAACCCCAACGGCCCCAAAAAGCGCATCCGAGAATGCCATGAAATCCAAGGCGGAACCAGGGCACTTGCACCGGGCACGGCCTTTGCCAGGTGCGCTTTTTCCACAGCCAGTGCACTGCCAGGGCCTCTAATTGTTTGGCGAATCAAAACCGCGCTGCGGCGCTAAGGCTGGGTTGATTCCATCCTGGCGTTGACATCGTTTGATTGGAGGTTGTGTTGACCTGTGTACAGGTATGGCATGGAGTCGTGTGGTATTCACCTTTTCCAAGGGGTCTTTTGAAGGGGGATCGCTCCTGCTGACGGATGCACCATACAGCAATTTGGATTTAGGGTAGACATCAGCAGACAGAGACCTTCTGTAGATTGTGTCTTCTATCCAGGTTGCCTTCCATAAAACCACAAAAACCGCATTGTAAATACCTCAAGGCATCATGTTCAGGGTAAGGGGAGATGATCAACTTCTTTGCCGGTGTTGCTTCGCTGTCCACGCTTTGCTGGGACGCCAAAAGGCGTCAGTTGCCGTTCTGCTTCCCCAGGGGCTCAGGCGGTCTATGTTTTGGAACCAAAACGAGAATCAAGGCGCTCAGGCAGCATGCAATGGTCCCAGTGGTTCTTGCAATTTGTCTCCGTCTTGCAGAAGGCGAAGGACATCATTTTGGATGCTGTAGATGCGACGAGCACGGCCGTGGGCTATGTCACAAAGCGTCATGCTGTGAAGATGAGAATGCGCGTGGTCCAGGCCGGGAAGCGAAGAGAAACATGATGAAACCCAGTCTTCGGGCATTCATTTCCACCATTCTGAGCACAAAAAAGGATGCAAAAGGAAAAACATGTTGTGAAGAAGCAAAGTGCTTGCGCGCGCAGTAGGGGTGGTATTTCTGGAGCCTTGCAGGAGCAGTGAGTCAAGTAATAGGTTTTCAGCCAAAAATGTCAAACTTCCCCCTATCAACACGCCATCCGCCTTTGGCGATGCCGCAGGCTGCTCGATCCCAGCTCGAAAACCAGCTGAAGCAGGCAAAGGATGAGACAAAGACAACCAAAGATCTGGACACCTGAACGCCAAATTGTCGCGATGCAAACGTCGGGGGTCGGGGTGCAAAAGTCGCATGTTATTGAGACGAAATCGACCGAACATCGCCTGCTGGATCATTTCGGGCAGCGGCTCTCGGTGTTGGTGTGTGTGTGTGTGTGTAACCCTTGCAATCATAGGGATCCTTTCGGATTGTTTTAGCTTCACAGTTGTTTTCCTTGTGTAGCAGGGGGACTGGAGCCGATTTGCCTATCCAGTCCAACGAAGCTATGGCATTTCGGCGGATGAGTGGTCTGATCAACCACTTGTACCTGCATAATTTTTAAACCTTTGGTAAAGGGCTAATGCACTCGGCAGACATGAAAGAACGTCGTCAGCCTGCTCGATCCACGATCGTCGATGGGTTTCTTCCGCTTTGGGCCTTCTTTCCTCTTCAAGTCCTCCAGGTTCCCGTGGTTCATACTTGTTCCCTTAGGAATTGGAACCCTAGGCCGGCGTGTGGCACCGCTTTCAGTTCAGTACACCCTATCCTAAGTGTGTTTGGCCTCGTGCCAACCCGGGATGAGCCCGCAGAGTGCCTCCCGTGGACCCGTCGAACGGGTGTACGTCGAACGTATCCACTGCCTGGATACAGAGCAGCTCGCAGCGAGCGTAGGTGGCCTAGGCCGTACGTACGATGGTTTTGTCCCATCTTTGGAATTCTAAGCTGGCTCATGCCTCTACGTGACCGTAGCGGTCAAAGATGGCAGCCCCTGGGCACGCCGTACGTGGTCGCAGCGACCGAAGTTTGTTCAAGGTTCATTGGACCCTGTCGCGAGCTTAGTCCCTTCTCCCCCTTCCCTTCCCCCTTTCTTTCTTTGCTTCCTGGGGTTTTCCTGAATGCAACATTCAGGATCACCCCTCTCTTTCTTTGGTGTGTCCCTGGACGCTTGTTC